TTTCAAAACAGCTATTACTTTGATCTTATGTTGTAAGCTTAGTTTTTGTCATGCATTAGTTCATGTTCTTTTGGAATGCTGCTATAAAAAAATCCTATGTTACTTAAATGTGGCTTTTCATGACAGTTGTATATGTAAATTTAAAACCCATTTACCCCATCAGTTTATGGACCTTTAAGTGTCTTAACATAAAAAAAAAAAACAACAAAAATTATGAGACAAGTTGTCAAAAATTAAATGACTTCATTTTTTTATTTTTTAACACCTCTAGATTTAGGATTAGTGAGAAAGTGATTACATTGATTGACCCAATCTTATAAGGATGAACTTATAAGTTGTACGTTTCAAAATCTATTTAAACTACCTCATGCATTTCACACCCACTATTTTTGTTTGATGGAAAGATGTGTTGAAATAAAAAAAAAATATATATATATATATATATATATATATATATATATATATATATATATAAACAGTTTTGCAGAAAATGATCCGTGGAGTCCTGTCTGGAGCACATGTTGCTGGAAACATCCTGCCGTCACTAGCAGCTGCTCAACAGTGATGCAGGCTCCAGATCCAAACTCACCAATTTATTTCAACAAAAATCAGAAAAACCAACACTTCTTTAATGAATTTCCAAAATAAAAGAAAAGGTAACTACCTGTATGGATCTAGAGTATTAATTTTCCCTGACCCTTTAGCTCTTCATCAAAGCCCTGAGTTTGCATTTTCAGTGTATGTGTGAAAATAGTGTCTGTGTCAGCACTCTGAATGAGTGAGGCGAGGGAAAACTCCTCACGCCAGCGGGTTCCAGTATGACTCCCGCTCAGCCAAAGCCTCACATTTGGGGCTTATCGTCACAAAAGGGGGGATAACAGTAACACGGTTGCAGCAGTGAGGAGGGGGTAATCCATGACATAATGGGGCACACCAGCAAAAATCCACCCCCTTGTAACCTCCATCCCCTACCAGTTAATTTTACCCCTCAGCATCATCTGATCCATTGCCATGTTGATATCACAGAAGGACAAAATAAAAAAAAGGATGCAGAGATGCAGCAGTTCACAAGCCTCCATGGCAACAGCATCATGAAAGAAACTGCCCCCATGGTGATCAGAGAGATGCCTCACAAGCAGCATGAAGAAGGGAAAAAAAGACACATTCAAAGCATTGAAAGGGTCTGAAGGGTTGATCACACGTGCAACAAACATTTTTAGAGACACAGTAATTCAAATCACAGTTGGATGTTTGTTCGTGGGGTTCTCCTAACTTCTGCTCACGGATTGGTAACTTCTACATTTACTAATAAGTCCTGCTCAGCAGAAGAATCAAGGTGAACTGGAGTTCATTTATCATCTAGACTCTGATACCTCCATGCTCTACAGTCGCTATGAGGTTCTGGAAGGCTGCATTTAGCTTAAGACAAACATGTCCTCTGTTCTGATGTCTAAATAAGCCATATATGGATGGACGCATTAGTCCAAAGAAGATTATTTCTTTAAATTGATCAAGTCTATAATCTCTTAGGCGAAATTTATTCTGGCGGGAACCTTTGCTCTCCTTAGACACCTTCTAAAAACGTTCTGATTGCCGAAACAATCTTCTGCAGCAGTCAGCTGGAGGCTCCATGATAACATTTTAGGGGGTTTTAAAACACTTGTATTCTGGTTTTTGACCAAACTTTCTGGGATTCTCAGATCTTAGCATGTTAGCAGATTTCTTGTAAGCATGTCAAGTATTTTCATTACAGATTAATAGCTGATTTGAAAATTATTTGGAGCCCTCTTTAATCCTTTACACAAGTTTTAAACTGCTCCAGTTTTCTCGGACAGCTCTCTGGATCTCAGCATGTTGGTCAGGCTCTCTTCTTACCAACACGGATGTAAAACGTCTGTATATGTGTTGCCATTCTAACTGTGGGGGTGTTCTCAGTGATATTAAATATCCACAAATAATTTAAAGCTCTCATATGTAAATCAGATGCATGCTTTTATTATGACCTGGAATATCAGGAAGTTCCTCAGCAACCTCAAAATCCAACATGGTGGCCACTGGTTGCTGCAAGAACCACTTTTTACTTTTCTAATCTTTGTGTGTTATCAAAACAGTGGTGCACATGTTACCTTAGATATGTTAGATTGTATTATATTATACGATTATATTATATAGATGATAATTTTGTATAATTATTATTTTTGTTTGGGTTTTAAATTAAAAAGAAAACAAGGATAAATCCGACCATGACATTTTGCTGTAGTTTGCCTGGTTCCTCAGTGAATATGTGAACCAATCCCACTGCTTTTCTAACTTTTCCACTACAATAAAGTAGTTGGTTGTGTCATCATTCAAAGATCTGAATTCTGACATTTAGCCTGTACAGAAAACACTGTTTACCAGCTGAAAGTTGGAAAATCTGCCAACCCCTCTGCATAGTGTAAGCTTTATCAGCAATAATATAATATACATGTTTGAAAACATGTGTTTTACAGCGCTGTGTTTGTTAGACTTTGTGATATAAATCATGGAAGGTAAAAACTTCATTACTGCAGCTATCTCCCTATTTTATGCACACAGCAGACATATTGAATTTTTGTATTGGGGTTTGGATTTAAAGCTTTAGCTTCCAGCTTTAAAAGCTGATTATTTTTCTGTCTCAGATCTCAAAAATCCCCTCTTCTCTCATTGAAAATTAAGCAAAATAAGTTTCATGCATGGAATTTCATTTATAGGTAAACACTTGTGAACACTGGGACAAAACTGATAAATAACACTAACACCTATCTCACAAACACTGGGAATAAATTGTTATTGTACCTGTAAGAACAAATCAGATATTTCAAAAAACTGAAAAACATAATTCAGCAAGCTGAAAAAATATTGTAAGTACTTCTGCTTCCCACATACAGGGTAAAACCCAAAGATTTCAATAATACAGAACCCTCTGCCACATTTCAGACTTCAAACTTAAAGATATGATTTTTATTTATTTATTTATTTTTGTCAAGAAATAACAAGTGGGACGCAATCATGAAGTGGAATGAAATTTATTGGATATTTTAAACTTTTTTAACAACTAAAAAAAACTGAAGAGGGGGGCGTGCAAAATTAATCGGCTCCTTTACTTTCTGCAGCAAACTCTGATCTCTGTGTTCATCTCAGATGTCTGTTTAAAGCACAGAGAGCATCATCAAGAACAAGGAACAAACCAGGCATGTCTCAAATTCTGTTGTGGAGAAGTTTAAAACTGGATTTTGATACAAAGAGAGTTCCAGAGTTTTAAACATCCCGAGGAGCACTGTAAGTGATAATACTGAAATGGAAGGAGTATCAGACCACTGCAATCTACAAAGACCCAGCCGTTCCTCTAAACCTGCAGTGTATGCTGCATACATCTGGACTCTATAGAAAAAAAGCCATTTGTTAATGATTTCCATAAAAAGTATTGTTTGAAGCAAACAAAACCAAACTTTTTGGCAGGAACACAAAACATTATGTTTGCCGTAAAAGCAACACAGCTCATCACCCTGGACACACCATGCCCAATGTCAAACATAGTGGTGGCAGCATCATGGTTTGGGCCTGCTTTTCTTCATTGGGGTCAGAAATGGTTAAAATAGATCAGACGAAGAAAGGAACCAAATACAGGACCATTCTGGGAGAGAACCTGTTGGAGTCAGCAAAAGATCTGGGACTGGGACGGAGATTTATCTTCCAAAAAGGCAATTGTCCAGAATATAATGCAAAATCTACAATGGAATGGTTTACAAATAAAAATATTCAGGTGGTAGAATGGCCAAGTCAAAGTCCAGATCTGAATCTAACTGAGAATCTGTGGAAAGAAATGAAAACTGCTGTTCAGAAACACTTTCCATCCAGCCACTGAGCTCCAGATATTTTACAGGAAAGAATGGGCAAAATTTTCAGTCTCTTTATGTGGGAAAACTATTAGAGACATACCACAAAGTGACTTGCAACTCGAACTGCAGCAAAAGGTGGTGCTACAAAGTATTAACTCAAGGGGACTGCATAACTTTGCACACCCAATTTTTCATTGTTTTTTATTTTTTGTTAAAAAAGTTGAAAATATAGGTGTGCAGGTGCAGCAGTGGTTAGCACGTACGACCCATATATGGAGGTCTTAGTCCTCGACGCAGGCGACCCGGGTTCAAATCCGACTTGTACTCCTTTCCTGCATGTCTCTCCCGTATACCCCCTTTCCTGTCAGCCTACTGTCAAAAAAAAAGCCGCTAGTGCTGTAAAAACTCAAAAAAAAAAAGAAGAAAATAAATAATAATAAATTCCATCCACATCATTATTGTGTCCCACTTATTTATTCTTCACAATAAATTAAAATTATATATCTTTATGTTTGTATTTGACCTGCTATCAGATAATAGAGGCTGGTCATTTGTGACTGTCTCAAAGTCCGTTAAATGTATTGTAATTTGTTATCATAGTTGTTAGTAATACTAATTCTAACTAATTATAACGCAGATATATGAAGCAGCAAAAGCAGTGGAGATACCCCTCATACATACATACATACATGCATACAGAGCAATAAAAAATGATAAATTATGAAATACAATACATGCATATTTTGGGTCAAGTTGTTGCAGGGACTACATGTATGTTAAAGTTGTATAGGATGGTATATAGTATTTAAAAATTGTTACAGGCTTTAATATTGGTAATAAATATATCCCATTTTCATAGCCTTGCAGTCTTTATGTGATCACCATCCTTTTCATTGAACTTATTATGATGCTTTGCATGCATGTTAGCTATCGAAGGCTTTGATTTGTTCTATAATGGTAAATAATTTGCTTACTGATTTTTAAAGGGCAAGCAATTAAAAACGTGATCTTAAATGGACATGTTTTGTGTGCGTGTGTGCAAGCAGAAAAGCTGCAAAGGGCCTGGAGAGCTGTGGAGAAGGAGAGCGTGAGGCAGAGAGGGAGGAGGCGGTTCTCATCAAAGGAGCTCTCAACTTAATGAGACCCTAAAGCCCCCAGACCCTGACAGCTCCACAAAGACAGATGCAGAGACAGATTTAGAGATAAACAAGAAGCCTGAGGAAGACATCTCCTCTGGATTTAAGATGACGTGGCGTGAGGTGAGGAATCTACTTTAGAGTTTGGATTTTCTTAATTCTCACCATTATGATGCACGGGAAAATTGCTCTGATTATGTTCCTCCTGGGAAGGGAAATCAATGCAAGCCAGAATTTATACACGTTTGTATTCAGATTAAAGTTGTTTATAATGATTTAGAGTTGATCAGTTTTAAATAACTGTTTTTGAACCACAATTTATGAGTTCACAAGGATTTGGATCCCAGGTTCAGGTAATTTCTTTTATTATTTTTTTCCAAGTTGTCAACTGATCAGCATATATTGTTTTTAGCAAAGATTTCAAACTAATTCAGCTATGTTTTCCTTCTAGCTAGGATAGGAATCTCAGTTTAAGCAAGATGTTTCTCCATTATGTTGGTTTTGAGAGTCCTGTATTGTTAAAAGAGCCATGAAATCCGTCCTGCAAGCAGATCCATTTAGATTTCTATAACAGTGTAAGGATGGAAGTAAATGGATTATTTTAAGAGAATAAAAGAGATGTATGAATGAAACAATGTGATCATGTTGTTAATTTGACAGACTGATGGAAAGTCTCTAAACCCTTAGTAACATCCTTCACCAAAATATAAAAAGATCAGCAAATGCTGCTGTTCAGGATTTTTTCTTTGTACTAACTGTTAAGCAAAGCCCAAACAACACAGGCCTTTGTCAGTTAATGTTACATGCATTTAATGTAGAACTCATTTTGTAAAGCTATAGCTTGGAGCGCCATCTTTTCTTTCTTTTAGTGTGTTTACCATGGGGTGCTTTCTTTATGCATGATTTTATTACTGATTATTGTCCCATTGGCAATGAACCTAATTTTTAAAAGTTTATACCTGTTCTAATGTATTTCCATAATGCAGTTCATCCTGTTTTATTCATTTTCTCATAACAAAATCTAATAGAACTAAATGTGTTCTAAAGATAAACAAAATCTGAGACAACTATGTTCATTTTTGTTTTTCCTCCGAGGAGCTCCGTAGTCGGCGGTTCTGGAGTGCCACGTTGGCTGAGCTGCTCGGCACCCTGGTGTTAGTGAGCGCTGTTCTGGGTGCCTCTGTTCCAGGGCCCGACCAGGCCCCCGTGGGACCCCTATACCCAGCTGTAGCAGTGGGTGTTGTCATCGTCTCACTGGCACACTGCTTTGGAGAAATCAGTGGGGCGCAGGTAAAATGCCTTATAGTTACACATTTAATTTTAAAAAATGTTGCATTTTGCGCAAAAATTGAGAAAATTATGTTTATTAAAATTACAATTAAGCATTCAATTTAAAGTCCTTTTAAAAAAAGTTAAAACTACAGAAAATTTGAATGCAGAACTAACTTAATGAAATAATGATAATATCCAAAACATCTTTATAGAAGCCATTTCAAAGCAGCCAATACTAACAGGTGCCTCTCATGCATTTATGAATGTTCATTAGATTTTCCTGGAATCTGTTCAGGTGAATCCAGCTCTGACTCTCTCCTTGCTGGCCACCCGGAAGCTGGATCTTCTCCATGCCCTCATTTACATGGTGGCTCAGTGTTTGGGGGCCTGTTTGGGAGCCTCGGCCCTCTACCTCGCTCTACCTCTCAAATCCACAGCAGACCATTTTGTTAACAGGGTCAGTATACAGGTTACATCTCAGTTTCTGTAATAGATCCCCATCTTCCTAATAGTCCCTCTGTCTTTGACATCATTCCTCCTCAATTTCACTTAGGTTCCCATAGAATTGAATGCAGCACAGGCTCTGTGGATCGAGGTTCTCTGCACTTTTCAGATGGTCTTCACCGTCTTCTCTGTGGAGGAGCACAGACGGAAGGAGAGCGTAGAACCAGGAAATCTGGCCATTGGATTTGCTCACTCTGCTGGAGTGATGATAGGCGTAAGAAAATGACAGCAGGGTTCCTAGTATATGTCTTGACACAAACATTTTTTCTACCTTTAGTCCAACCATTCTCACCTAAACCCTTACCACTTCACTGTCTCATGCAGAAATACATTTCTGCAGCATGATGCTACTACAAGATTCTCTTAAGGTGTGCCATGATGTACAGGGCTGCATCTTTTGCACATAGACCTAACTATCTTACTTCTCATTCTGTTTAGACTTAGACAAACTTTATTGTCAATTTGTATACACAGAGTATATACAAAATGAAATTGCGATGCATACAGCTTTTCCACAGTGAATGAGCAGCTCACAACAGTGAAATGAACATCACCGTTTATAAAGTGCAGCAGTAATAATCAGAATGTAAACCATGTAGGAGTAAAGGAAAACTAGTTTAAAGTCATGGTGCCAAAGGCACCGATATGGAAAGGTCCAGTACAGTGCAGAATGGAGTATAACATTGAGTTGTGTTCTATTTAAAAGCATTATGGAAAAATCAGCCATGTTGGCAGTACAAATATGATGTTTATAAGTGTGATGCAGAGTCTTGATTAGAGTTTCAACAGTCTGATGGCAGCGGGGAAAAAGCTGTTGCAGAACCTGCTGGTCCTGCATCAAATGCTGCAAAGCATCTTTCCAGGGGGCAGCAGTGAGAACAGTCCATGGTGGAGGTGAGAGGGGTCACTGACGATGTTACTGGCTCAGGACACACACTGGGATTAAATGTTCTTAATGGAGGGAAGAGTGTTTGTATAACTATGGCTTTTTTGTCCTCCTTCAATAATGGCCAGATTGTACTAATATTTGCTTTTAACAGAGTTACCAGGGGCCATGTCTAAGCAGGGTTCCGTTTGCTTGATAATCTTTGCATTTCCCAAATGGACTGAACATAGTTCTGAGAGACGCTAAAAGTTTAGGAGGCTGCTTCTCTTTAAAACTTTCTCCCTGGCCTGTCTGCTGTTTTCCATGTTCAATATCTTTTTCTCTTATGAACCTCTGAGACATTTTTAGAACAGCTGAACTTAGACCAGGGTGACATTTTTAACATGAAGATGTTATATTATCTACTAAAAGGAGGCTTTAAAGGTGCATGGATAGAAGGTAGCTAAATTAAGGCGCAAACCTTTTCCAGATTTTCCTGTCAAACGTACAATGGGATTTTTATTACCGGTATACATTTTTTTTGTTGAACATGAAATGATAAAATGGAACTATTAAACATGTCATCTTACTTATAAGCAAGAAAAAAGGGCATGATGCTGTGTTTGCAATTCAGGCCCGTTTCTCTGGTGCCAGTATGAATCCAGCACGCTCCTTGGGTCCAGCTATCATCACTGGATTCTGGGAAAATCACTGGGTAACAAACCTTCTTTACACTGTCTTACACTGCCATTGTTGTATATCAACTGTTGTGAAGTAATTTTAGTGAAAGTGTGGAGTGGATTCATAGTAAACTTTATTCGGGTCATTGATTATAAGGTACATGGTTATCCTTTGCTATGTTCGAATAAACTGCATGTTGCATATAATATGTAATCGGTATTGAGACGCTTAATACAATACTGATCTCAGCCGATTAGCTAGCATTTACTGCAGTACGGGCAGCAACAGTATGGCATGATTAGAATAGATTTGTGATGTATTGTGCAACCCTGGGGGGGAAAAAAATATAAAAATTTGGAGTAAGTGTACCAATACAAGCTTTAGGAGAAAATAAGACACCTCCAAAATATATATATCCCTGAAGCTCCCCAAAGGTTAGTGGAAGGTGTCTGTACAGAGTTTCATTTCCACAGATTGTGGTTCCAGTTTTCAACTAATCTAAATTGCTGTCGGCTTTAAAAAAAACCTCAATGATTGTACGATGTTTTCTAAAAAAAAAAAAAAAAAAAACAGATGTGAGGGAGGTTTAAAAGCATATAAACAGATGGAACCGAAGTAATGCTTTAAGATTGTCTTGCGACTTCTGATTAGTAATTGGTGAACTCTTTATCAAAGGATGTATATATGATCTTTAACAGAGGCCAGTTTTTAGCTACCACTTATTAAAACTGAAAAAACAGGAGGACATGACATGATAGATGTGTTTTGATATTATTTTTCTAAACAAATGAACAAAAAGAAAAAAGCTAGAGTAAAAAAAAAAAAAAAACAATTAGAAAAAAAAAAAAAAAAAACAATTAGAAAGTTTGATACAGGGGACTCAAGGTTAGATGTGTCAGTGATCCTAGACCATTAATCAAATGTTTTTTTTTAGAAGACAGTCAAGCTCTAACAAACTCTACTAATTAACTAACTGTTTCAGGGTTATTTAAGCACAGACACATCTAAAAGTTATAGGGACCTGGCCTCTAGGTGCTTTATTTTGAGGCCCTTGGTTTATAACTTGAGACAAGTTATATTTTGCAAAGAAGCAATGGATGAAAAATAGCCTTTTGGCTAATTCTGACGATTTACATGGTAATTATTATGCAATTTTCCTACCAAATTAATTAATCCTTAGAAAAAAAAAGAACTGGAAAATAATCAAAGTTTATCTTTCTTTTACAATGCAAACCTTTAGTTCATAAGTTAGCCAGTAAACTGCATTTTCCTAATTATCACCATAATATGTAAGGATTTGGAGCTTTATAGAATTAATTTAACTTTCAGCAGAGCTGTGTGTGTTGGTCAGATCAGACTAAGATGAAGCTACTTGTAAACAACCACTGGAGGTGAGTTTGGTGTAAAACAAAGAACCAATTAAAGGAGTTCATCTTCACCGGTAAAAACGTTAGCTGATAGTTTACTCTGTTAGCCGGTTTCACTTCCAGTGAAACTTTTTAAGGTGGAATTAGAATCTGGTAGCTTCTGTAAGTCAACTAATAATGTGTCATAATTGGTAAATAAGCAAACATATAGCTACATAACCAAATAAAGAAAGCGTTCTCCAGAAATAAATCCAACCTGCTTCATTTTTAAATCCACCATTTTTAATTATCCCCAATAACTTATTTTCTGTTTACTACATTAATTGTGCTTCCCCCAGCTTAGACCACACACATGATATTAATTAATACATGTTTTAGAGAAAGTCCACATTTAAACCACATCGGGTCAAACACATAATACAGTGGTATACGATGGTAAATGCACTTACTGCAGCAGCTTCAGAGGTTAAATCTGTCAAACACATTCATGGAGCACTTCTAGTCCGCATCATTGAGTTTTTCCCCGCATAACTCATACACAAAAACATATACAAAGATGCATAAACATATTTTTGGCACTAATGGAATGCCATACTTTGTGGCCTAAAAATTTGCACTCCAAGAGATTTACAGAGGGGTTCTAAACCACTATTTTGAGAACTTAACACATAACATACACCTTACTTGACATAAGCGAATAACATATACACAAAAACATATACATAGAATCCTTAAGATATTTTTGCCACTAATACAACATCTCTGACTTGCACCTTATTACTAAAGCAAATTACTGTTATAAATGAAATACCTATTTGTTTTTTTGTTTTTTTGTCAAAGTTATTTTTTTATTGAACTTTCACAAAATACACAATGTAAAAATTAGTCAAAATATACTACAATATAAAGTTTTTTCTCCCCCCGAACACCAAAGATAGTGGTAGCTGGTGTAAATGTGTTATATATACATATACATACGCACACCCATATATGAAATAAAATCTCAAGATTTCTGAAAAGTAAAAAATAAGGATGTAAGCACCAAGTATGGAATACAAAAAATAAAACCAAACAAAACCAGTTCTCCATTTTATGAATTACTTTCTTGCAGGTACAAAAATACTGTATTAAATAAAGCAATAGATGAAACAATATCAACAGCAAATAAACACTAAGTACGTAACAAAATTTAGCCAGCTTAGGAAGGAATGTTGAGACAGGGCGAAGTCCAAGTATGATAAAAAAAAAAAAAAGGCTGCCATCCCGTTAAAAAGTTGCTCATTGACCCCTGTAAGGTAAACTTGATTTTCATAAACAACTATTTGGAATTAAGTTTTTATCCAGTTCTGATTCTTAATAGGATGGTACTTTGGTTTCCACCCACAGGTGTTTTGGATTGGTCCAATCATCGGTGCTCTTCTAGCTGGAGTGTCCCACGAGTTCTTCTTCGCCCGCAGTGCCTCTCGCCAGAAGCTGGTGGCCTGTTTGACCTGCAAGGACATTGAAATCATTGAGACGGCCAGCATGACTGGGTCATCTCTGTCCACAGTGACTCAGAACGCCATGAGAGCCAAGCATGCCAGCAAACAGGAGAGCAACTGAAGGCGTGTGAGGAGGGACGGTGTTTTAGACAGAATTGATGATGATGAGCTGAGCTAAGAAGCTTAAGCTCTTTGGACTTCATCAGCTTTGAAACATAAATGAGACTAAATAAATGAGCAACTAATAACAAGGGAATCTGATTATAATGACAAGAAAACTTGCTTACAAAATTAAACTGAAATGCAAGAATGTGTCCTTCATCAAGTCCATTACTGCCTTGTTTTGTTTAAAAAAACAAATACAAATCAATAATGTACTGAGTTTCACCATTTTTACAGCTAAAAAGGTTGATAAACATCTTTTTTAACACAGAAGATTTGTTTGAAAATGCATTAAAATATTAGAGTACATGATGCTAAAGCTGATATACAAGGTCCAGTGGTGTCTATCACATTTATAACTCATTAGAATACGTTGGAAAAAAGAGAGCCATTGAAATCCGTCTGAATAACGCTCTAATGTTCCAGATGCATCTTGTGTTTGTGAGGCTTTGAAATGCTAAAGAGGCCCATCCCCCTGGTCTGCAGGTTCAATGATGCTCTCAAACAGTCCAGGTCTGTCTCTTCTCACATGGTCCGCTATTCATAGTCAAATAGGCCTTCATAGCCATGTTGTGTTTTGACCGTAAATACACCTGTAAGCTTTTGTCATTTAAAATGGAAACAATGAGAGTATGTGCGTTGTTTCTGAGGAAATGTTTTGCTTTCATGAAAACCTTTAAGAATTGTTGTTTCTTGTTATTATGAATTGTTATTTCTCTCATTTGGATGGATTTTAGACACTAAACCACTTTTTCTTAACTGTAGATTATTTTTTCACATTTCATATAGACCCACTGATTGTATTGAGACTTCAGAGGAGACAATGCAGAACATAATTATGGAGCGAAAAGAAAAATACAAGGTTTCAAGGGTCCTGAAATCTTGGAAGAACCACCACCTCAGTGTATATCTTTGCCTCTTTTGTATATCTAGAAACTCAAACACGTTTTGATTCAGCTTTCCAGAATCACTCAAGCTCAGTCATCATGTGCCCTCATGTTTCCATCCAGTAAATCATCAATATGTCTGTCCATGAGCGCTAAAACATGAATGGAGATCTAGGTGCTAGAAAGCCACCAGCTGTTCTTCATAATAATGCTCTAACTGGGATATTGTTCATCATAAATCTTATCCTTAGTTTTATTTTTGTTGCCAATTGTTACAAAGTTTGTTCTTTTATACTTTATTTATTTTGGGGTGTCTGAGCTTATTCTGAATTTATATTGCATTTTCTTGGGTTTCTGGAGGAGATGATTCCTTTTCCTCACTCGTATTTCTCACTACTCTCCAGTTATGCATAAGCTGCAGATATGCCTGCCATTAAATGTATGTTCTATCTGTGTTTAGCAGCAATGCCTTCCTGGAGGAGGCTGAGTTATTGTTGCCAATGATGTGATGTTCTCTTTCTTCTTTCTTTGTCACAAAGCAGTTGTGAAAAACTAGTGCTTTAAATATGATTTACTATGTCATCATTGTATTGAGTTTACTACTGGCTCACAGCTTAAATGTTCAGCTGTTTTTCTGACTGAGCTATTGCTGTCTTAGCTCTATATTTTTCTTAAATAGGCAGAATAGTCAATGACCAATGTGCTTGGTTCTGTTTTTGTTTTAATGTGTCCTGCCTGTCTTCTTAAAGTCCAAGCCTGTTGCTGCAGAAGACCTTTCACATTGATGCAGGTTCTGCAGTAGGAGGGATTGCTGCAAATGTAATAACTTGGCGCAAATAAAAGTCCATAGTTGCTCTATAACATAACATCTGTATATTGAGTGTCTCACTGTTTTGTAAAGACAATCTTTAATCAGTATAGCTACACTTGTGCGAACTAGATTGAACATTTGAGAAAAAATAATGATTAAAAAGAAAACAAAAACGTGCATTTTCTTTCTTTGTCACGTAAATTCCCCATAAACAGACTAAAGCAGATGATGTTCAGTGTTAAATGTAAAAAAAATTGTCAGGAATACTTTTGCAAGCCACTTACTGTTTATTATGAAATCATAACCTTACAGGTTTACAGCACATTACAGACAGGAGGACACATATATGCCCAAAATACTCAACAAGCAACACTGAACTATTATTGTATGTGTTCTTTCTAACATGTATAAAAGGAGGTTAAAACGACCTGCTCAGCGTTCTGCATTCATCCTCAAACACACACCAACATCAATGGCTCTTGGCTGCTCAGCTACAAGGCCCAGAGCTCATCTCACACATACACACATATGTTCATGGCTTTGGTGGTTTATTCAAGCACATATATCAAATACCTCTGCCATGAGCAGAAACCAGCATCAAACTGGTTATTTACTGCAGGGGCAGTAGTTTTGTTTCCCTGGTTTGTAGCTCTGTTGCATTAACTGTGTGTTATTTTTCCCCTCTTTATTCAAATCAGCCCCATCACTTGTTTTCTTTCAATGTTATTTCTGTCTCACTCGACACTTGGTCAGAATTCAGCTTTCTGCACCAATCACCACCCTGCATACATTCAATTATTGGATTTAACATCTTTAAAACGACACCAAAGTGAAGCTACAAACGTTCCCTTTAACATAAAGGTTCTTATATTTTTGACTTGTCTCTGAGCATATGTAGCACCCATGCTTGTTGCAAACAATAGTTTCACAGGGTCAGGCATTTCAGTGTTAGTGCTGTTAGCTTTGGGCGCTTCTGTTTGGGGCCCCAAATGTGCTATCTCCACGTATGTGTGCGTGCACTTGCATGTGTGCCGCTTTGTACTCAAGTGGGAGGTTTTCCATCAAGATTTATATGTACACTTAATGACACTTATGTCAACCAATGACAAGTGCCTTAAAGCAAACCTCGTCCTCTGTAAAAAAAAAAAAAAAAAAAAAAAAAAAATATATATATATCTTTTTCTCTTATGAACCTCTGAGACATTTTTAGAACAGCTGAACTTAGACGAGGGTGACATTTTTAACATGAAGATGTTATATTATCTACTAAAAGGAGGCTTTAAAGGTGCATGGATAGAAGGTAGCTAAATTAAGGCGCAAACCTTTTCCAGATTTTCCTGTCAAACGTACAATGGGATTTTTATTACCGGTATACATTTTTTTTGTTGAACATGAAATGATAAAATGGAACTATTAAACATGTCATCTTACTTATAAGCAAGAAAAAAGGGCATGATGCTGTGTTTGCAATTCAGGCCCGTTTCTCTGGTGCCAGTATGAATCCAGCACGCTCCTTGGGTCCAGCTATCATCACTGGATTCTGGGAAAATCACTGGGTAACAAACCTTCTTTACACTGTCTTACACTGCCATTGTTGTATATCAACTGTTGTGAAGTAATTTTAGTGAAAGTGTGGAGTGGATTCATAGTAAACTTTATTCGGGTCATTGATTATAAGGTACATGGTTATCCTTTGCTATGTTCGAATAAACTGCATGTTGCATATAATATGTAATCGGTATTGAGACGCTTAATACAATACTGATCTCAGCCGATTAGCTAGCATTTACTGCAGTACGGGCAGCAACAGTATGGCATGATTAGAATAGATTTGTGATGTATTGTGCAACCCTGGGGGGGAAAAAAATATAAAAATTTGGAGTAAGTGTACCAATACAAGCTTTAGGAGAAAATAAGACACCTCCAAAATATATATATCCCTGAAGCTCCCCAAAGGTTAGTGGAAGGTGTCTGTACAGAGTTTCATTTCCACAGATTGTGGTTCCAGTTTTCAACTAATCTAAATTGCTGTCGGCTTTAAAAAAAACCTCAATGATTGTACGAT